AAGAAAGAAAGAAAGAAAGGAAGAAAGAAAGAAAGAAAGAAAGAAAGAAAGAAGGAAAGAAAGAAAGGAAGAAAAATCAGTACCAGGACAAGCCCAGCTAAATGCTTCTTGACAATTCCTTGAAAAGGAGTTGATAACCCAAAGTTCATATTGTATTAGAGAATAGGGGCATAACAATACACTTAACACACATTGCCAAACCTTTGTGTTTAAGGCTGTTACAGCTAATAGATTGTTAAGAAGAAAAGTGAAAGCTTCTCTAAAGAAAAGATCTAGAGAAAGCTGTGTGTGTGGCAAAACACACGCACTTTAAAAAAAATATTTAAAATGTATAAACTTGGGCCGGCGGAGTGGCGCGTTGGTTGGGGGTTGGCTTGGGATGCTGGAGGGCCCCGGTTCGGATCCCGCGTGTGAGGGCCGGTGCACACTGCCCTCTTCAGCTGAGATGCTGAACGGCAGCTTGACCTGGAGCTGGGCTGCCATGGGTCACTAGCAATGGCGTAGCCTGCAGCCCCTGCTGCAGTGGGTTGCCATGAGCTACCGTGTGTAGCCGGCAGCCAGCGTGAGCGGCCATCAGCCGCTGTGAGTGGCCGCCCAGACGCCAGCTACTGATCTGCCTAGCCCGGGAGGAGTGCAATGATGGTGCCAACTTGGGCCAGTGTGGCGGCGTCCTCCACAGCTGGACTGAGGAACAAAGGGATAGCGACTTGTCTGTTCCCCTTCCCTCAATTCCCCAACAAAAATCTTAAAAAATAAATAAATAAATAAAATAAAAAATAAAATGTATAAACTAACCAATAATTTCTTCTGGAAAGTAACTGCAAATAAAAACAGCTTCATACATTCATTTTTGAAATGACAATTAGCATAATACCTATTCTGTTACTTCAAAGATATATAAAGGATTTAAAACTTATTTTTCGTTAAATTTATTTTAATGATCTCCACTTCTCTTTTGAGAATTTGTCTCGCAACCTATTAAGAGATCTAGAAAAACTAAAAATTTCTGAACAGATACTATAGGCTTTTGGATAGAGACACAAAGTTGAATGAGTGTCTGCATGATGGTGAGTTAGCAAGGCTTGACATAGGTGATGCTGTTCTATCTAAACCTTATGGTTGCTGCCTGTGAATGAGACATTTCTTCAAGTCTGTACTTTAAAAAACTGGAAAGTATGTAAGGAATTCATCAACACTAATATGGATTTGTTTTAACTGGTGATACACTGACCAGAGGAACAAAGAGTGGCTACAGCAATGTTAGCTCAACCTACTCTCTATAATCGCACTTGATTCGTATCTCAGAAATGCAAATTCGTTATCTACACAAGGAAGTTCACTGCTTGTTATCTTCAGAAGCAGGAAACTGTTTTCTTTCCTTTTCTGACTGGGTGATTAAAAAGAATGATATAAACACCAAACATCTGAATTTTTCATTATTTCACTGAAGGCCTTCTTGGCATAGTTCTTTATAAACTAAATTGGGAAGATAACATCTACAGTAGCTCTTATCGGCCACCCACATGACCCTGGTCTTTAAACTAGGAGAAGGAAAATTTTAAAAGGCCTGGTGTTTTGTATGTGTGCCCCTTATTCTTTCCTGATCTGTTCCTCACTGACCAAGGCTAGTTCCTCTACTGATCACGCCCTTTCCCCTTGGTGGTGAAGACTGCACCGCGGAAGCCTGGATGGAGCCCAGTGGGTCACAGAGGTGACAACGTGTAGACGCCTCATAGCTGCGCACCCAGAGCCCTACCTGCCTTACTGGTCCTTGTTCTATCATCTCTTGGCTTATAACATCAGCTTCTTTCTCTCCATGAAGTCTACCTGTTATACTTACAAACCTGCATAGATTTTATTCATTAAAATATTATAACACCCAAATGACACAAAACAAACAAACAAACAAACCCATTTTGGACCCAGTCCACTCCTCTAAGCAAGGCCTGTCTCTCCCTTCCCTTCAAGGCACAAAGACTTGCCCACAGCTCCTCGTCCTCCGTGACGATGATGGCTTCCCAGAGGCTCTCAGTTTGCACTGGATTGCACCACAGCCCATTGCTGCTCTCCCAGCACCTCCCACTGTTCTCATTTTAATCTTTCCGTCTGCATAGCTGCTGCAGTATCTTTTATAAAATACAAATCTGTTTATATCATTTTCCTGCAGTCACTCCCCATCGTTTTCAAGAGAAAACCCAAACTGCTTAACATGGCGTATATAACCTGACCTATTTAGCTCGGTCTCTGACACCGCCTTAGCCTGTCCAGATGTTGAGAATCCACTGCTGAACTTGTCGTTCTCCTCTCTGTTGTCCTCACTGCCTGGGATGTTCTTACACATGTCGTTTTGTTCTTCCAGGAGCACCCTTACCTCAGTTTCCCTGCCCAGTAAGCTTCTATTTATCCTCCTAGTGTTACTTCAAAAGTCACTCTCCTTCTGAAACCTTCTCTGGCCCTCATCTCCCCATGTGGTCTAGGCCCTTCCTCTGTCCTTGCCCAGCATTTGAGGGACGACATTCACGGCTCTATATTTTCTAAGTGTCTGGCTTTTGCCTTCCTCACCAGAATGTAAGGGCCATAAACAGAGGGGCCTGTTGGCTTTGTTCACTATGCACCCCCGGTCCTAAAGCACTTCCTGGAACAGAGGTTAAGTCTGAACATTTGTGCAGTGAAGGAAAGGCTGAATATAAAAATACTTCGAGCTGGTATTCAAGGTCCTTGATGACTAGGCCTCACTCCACCTTCCCCGCCTTTTTTCCGACTCATTTCTCACGTGATGCTTGTCTGCTATTTCCCAAATACCCACTGTGCCTCCTAACTGGGCCAGTCTACAAGAGTTGCTGTCCTTTTCTTCCAAGTTAAATTATATTTACTTTTAAATCCAGCTAAAAGCCCCTCTCTTCTATAAAGCAATCCAAAGTGGTAAGCTCTTTAACTATAGGATTTATCATTTAATGTCTTAAATACCTTTCAATTCACTAGAGCTCTCTGTCTTATACTTGTAATAGAATTTTTTTTTAATTTCAGAAATAGGTTTTAAGCTATAACAAAAAAAAATTCTTAAAAGTTAAAATTCTTTATGCTATGAGTAAATAACATTCAGACTTCATTTTATCTATTTTTTTTTAAAGAAATCATATGCCTTTTTCTTCAAGTATAACAAAGAAGTTTGCTTTCAGGTACAATGTGCAACATAATGGTTAAAAGGCAACATTCAAAATCTGTTAGTGAGAGTGGGTTCTAGTAACAACTCTGATGTCCACTTTAATTGCAGATAATATGGGCCACTGAATGTACTATGAAAAGGCATCCAAAAGTAACTCTTCCAACTTTTACCTGTAAGCACAGCATGGTCCAATTGATTAAACAATTTGTTCTAACCCAGAAAATAAACTGTAACAAATCAGGAACGCTTCTGTGATAAGAACTATTAGTCAGAAAATTTTCAAAACTTAGAGTGAATTTTAAATATTGGGTTGTAGGAAAACTCATGATGCATTTTATGACAAAAAACAGAAAAAATACGTCATGACTTTTCCAATAACCCAGTAGTATTACTGATCTGAATCCTATTGACCCCAGTGGTAGATACATACAAACATACCTACATATGTGGGCCTATACATCACAGCAGGTTACGCAATATGTAACGTGCAAACAAAGGAAACATGCCAACCTGGATACCAGCTTGGCCTCACTGGAGCCCTCTGTGGATTTCCTGTCATCCCAGCAGGGTTTTCTATGATTTAGCCGCAGGCTGACCTGAGGAACGCCATCAGATAACTCTGGTTGTGGTGCTCTGTGCGACTCAATAGAGCTCTCACTCCTGGATTTGGGGATCTAGAAATAAAATTTAAAAAAGAGAGAGAGAGTAATTTTAGAAAATCAAATTGTTATTAATAAATTATTCTAATTTATTAATAATCTAATGTATTAACACCAAAAAATATCAACTTAGGTATGGGATTAAAAATGCATACAAAAATTCTTGCATAGCAAAGGACACAGTGAAGGGGAGATACCGATATTTCCAAGGGGAACTTTCAAACCATATATAGTCCATACCCCTCTCCTGGATTCTCAAACAAATCTTCCCCAAGCCTAACGCTCCTTAGAATAATCATTCTATGTAATGAGAGAATACGAGAGTATATCAGACTGCAACCTGGAGTGAAAGAAAGATGAAATAGAGGCAGAAAAATAAAAGGCCAAGAACTACTGAAATAAAGAATGCTGATGTCAGAAAGGTACAGAAACATTTAGTACTAACAAACAAAATACATAACAGTTTGCTAATAGTTTCTATTGTAATCCTCTTTGTAGAGCAAAATTGGTCTAACAAATTTTTAACTAAGGAAAAAGGAAAAACAGAACCTTTTTAGTTATCTTATATCTCTAAAAGCGTGGACAACACAAGTGCCACATAAATTCCAGGTATACTGACGTCTCATATCTGAAGTTACGCACTCCTTCCAACCACAGAAATACCCACTCATGCTCTCTTATTTTAGACCATAAAGAATGTGAGTACAGCCAATATTCTTTTCCTAAAAATGTGTAAAAATCATATTAGAATTACAGGAAAAATTAAAATCCTTGGATCAACTGTATGTTACACTGGAAGCGTTTTCTCATCTCTAGGACTTGTCTCATGCTTGTCCTTCTACCTGGAATGTCACCTGTTCATCACTGGCCATTCACCAACTGCCTAAGACTAAACCAAATCCTAACTCTGAGGTTGAGATAAGAACCCACTGCCCACAGAGCTTCTCTAACTAACCTCAGGTCTTGATGACCTTTGCCAACTCTGAATTCCTGTAACACACCACTACACAATCTACACTTGATTACGTGTCCTCCGATAGCTTAATCTTAGTTAATAATTCTGTTGTCTCATGTTTCTAGGTTATATGACCTCAACCAGATCTCTCGTCTTCCTATTTGGCCCCTTCTACCCCTTCCCTCTCTTCCTCTTCTTTATGTTATTATTTTTAACATTTTTACCATAAAATCTAGCAATGTTTTGAACCCCATTAATAAATACTAATTGTCAGACGACACACTTTTCAGTTAAAAGATATTACCAAGACACTGCCTGACCAAGAGGCTAGGATAATGAACAATTTTAAAAAGGTAATATGGGGATAATTATGTACATAAAATATAATAAATTCATATCTCTAGGATTACATAAATCTATGAAAATAATTCAGCAAAGAATTACATTATCACAAAGCAAAATAAGCACTCAATAAAAGCTAGCTTTCATTAATATTGTTGTTATATAAAATCTGCCCAAATCTGATGACTATCAATTAATACCATAATTTGCCATGTATAATGCACACACACATTTTTGGCCCAAACTTTCAGGGAAAAAAAAATCTTTTGTTTTAATTTTTAAATTCAAATGTTTATTTGTTTACATTTAGGTACTTGCTTTTTGTATTATAAAGGAATTTTAGCATTTATTTTTTTAAACATATTATGGTACAAGAAATTTTATGTAACAAATAATTACAAAACACAAGAACAGATACAAGGTGCAAGAAATTTTATGTACTGGTAACAAATTTATGATATTTACGCATCATAGGAGGACAAGAACTCTTTTTCTTTTTTTTAATTTTTATTGGGGAACAGTCATGGTCATTGGTTTCACATTGCTTTCATACTACAATGACATAGTTGACTCTTTTAGGGAGGGAGCAGCTCACAGTGGCCCATGTGGGGATCGAACCAGCAACCCTGGTGTTATCAGCACCACGCTCTAACCAACTGAGCTAACCGATCATCCCAAGATGGCCAAGAACTCTTCAATGTTGCAAGTTCATAGTAAATTCAACAAAACCAATTATCGCATTCCAGGGTGTTATTTTGCATATGGATATCATTATTGATTTGTAGAGTTACACTTTTAACTCATAAACATAAATAAAAGAATTAAAAACATTTATATAGATATGGAAGTTGTACTACCCATGTATAATGTACATCCTTATTTTTCCCTCACAAATTCGGGCAAAAAAGTGTGTATTACACATGGCAAAATACAGTAGTTCTGTTGTATTTTTCTAGAGGGCAAATTATAAACTCATAAAAACCAAGGAAAGAAAAAAATATTTTTAATTATGATCTAAGATAGTCACAGAGATATTTGCCAAGATTACTTCTAAAAGAAATATTCAGATAAACAGCAAGAGAACGTGAAAAGTACAAATATATGCTATTACATATTTCATAAAGGGGCTCCTTTTGCATGTGATTATTTTTCATGGGAGTAGACATGAAAATTAACTAAAGCACTGAAAAAGCAGTAAGATTTCAAACTAGTTCGCTAAAGAATCTGACATCTAGACTTAATTCTCTCTCAATATTAAAACAAATAGAAGAACAGTTGTCTGGCAACATTTCATAGTTTAAAATCAGGACATGACGTTTTTAAGTTCAGTGAAAATTTTTGGGTTCAAAATTCGATTCAACGTTTATGTAAAGGAGAACTATTCTAAGGTAAAAAAGGTTAATATGCAGCTTATTCCGTTTTGTTAGTTTACACAAAAATAGATTACACAATGCAAATTACTTAGAACTCAGGTACCAGAAACTACATCAATCTAAGTGTATTTCTGTGATAAATTAATTTCCATAGAAATAACACACATGTGATTGTCATAACCATAAACTTTACAATATAAACTCATTATTAATATATACCAAAGTAGAACACAGAATTGAGCCTGTGCACAAAACATGAAAATGATGCATTAAGTTTATGTAGTATTTATAAAATTTGTTAGAAAAATAGTAGCTCAGTAACTCTGAGATTGCTAGAAGTGTGGAATACTACACATGTTTTTTAAGGAATGCATTTTTAGGTGTTGAATGAAATATTCTTGAAGATGTACCTTGAAGGCTGTACATTTTCACTATTGAAATAACGACTATAGGAAAAATAAATAGAGTGATCAAATTTTAAGACCTGTTGTTTTACAGATGTGTTATACTTCATGAAATTATCTTATTAATATTAATAACACATAGTATTGGGTTGTTGCAAAAGTCATGACGCATTTTTGCAACGAAAAACATAGAAAAAATACGTCATGACTTTTCTGACAACCCAACGCAAATGTGTTAACTTTGAGAGAAAGAGATCACTTTCTTGACTTGAGCTGGAATTGAGCTTTTTAGAAACACATGATTTGAGCCTTGGCCTTATAAAACAGGTAGAGGGGCTAATTTTATTTTTATGCTTCTGGGTGCCCATTTCAGATTGTATATAGTTTAGGGGAGGACTTTAGGTGGCACTCAAGGCCCCTTTCATCACAGAACTCTCTGAGGAGGAGTATGACACCAGTCAGTCAAGTCCAAGGGTCATTTTTGGTTCTCATGATGGGGGTGAGGGTGTGTGCTATGGGAACCTAGTGCATAGAGGCCAGGGATGTGACTAAACATCCTACAATGCACAGGACAGACTGCCATGAAAAAGTTATTTGGTCCAAAATGTCAGTAGAGCTGAAGTTGAAAAACCCTGCTTTAGAAAGAACAGTAAGGAGAAACCCTGTATGCAGGCAACTCCTATCTTTATATACTTTAATACTAGTTCTATCCTCCCTTTTTGCAATTGGCATGTTAAGATGTAAAGGGCCCAGCTATGAGCTTAGCAGGAATGGGTCAAGGAGGGCATGTAGGCTTGCCTTGTCTAGGCAAGAGTGACATCATGAGGTTCAATCAAGCTCTGTTGGGCAAGGATTCCAAGTAGGGCCAGAAAGCCTTACTGGAATAAGTTGAGCGAATGTGTCTGGAAAGACCCACCTGCAGCCTTCTCATAACGTGTGACTACAGTAGGAAATTGGCCACGGGTTTGATATGCTGACTGGGGTGGCCAGATTTCTCTTTCCATTGGAGACATCCACTAGCTCAAACCACACTTTGTGTCTTTATTTTAGTGCTTTCTTCATAACTTTTGAACTTGAGGGTAAAAACCATAAAAGCCCCTAACCCACGTATGGAAAACATTTTGCTCAGAAGAATTCTGCCACTGGCTATTTGAGATAAGTATCTAGGTGCATGCTATGTGATTTATGTGTACAACTAAAATACTAGCAATTCCAGGAATCTTATAAAGAGCACATTCCATGCATGTGTTTGCAGGTATGGAATAGTCTAATGGAAAAGTAACTTGAGTGACTTCAGTGCTTGAGATGCCATGAGAATAGAAACAAAGAATAATTTTGAGAATGTAAACTTAGGAAATATTCTCATGTTGTTGTTACTTTTATAAATAAACATCCAGCGAGCATTTACTTTGTGCTGGACATGGTTCCAAGAGATTTACATAAATTAATTCTTACCATATTTAATTTTCACACCAACCCAAAGAGGCAGGGGCTATTAGTATCATTTCACAGATACTAATAAGTGGCAGTGAGTAAGTGGCAGAGTTAGTTACATCCCAGATATTGAGGCCTGATTACTTGTGCTTACCACTATCTATATTTGGTTACATGTTAAACATTAGAATTGCAAGAAGAAAAGGCATTTTTGGATGAAAGTCACATTACATCCCAATAATGCAACCCATTTTTTTCTTCTTCCTTTTTTGGCATTAATAGTTAAAACTTTCCTTAAATTGATCTTTCTGGCACCTGCTGAACCATTCTAGCAATATAATCTTAGGGGTAAAAAAATCAGATATGAGGACAAAACTATATGGAATATGTGTTCATCATATTTTTATTTGTAATAGGCAAAAAATATAAGCGTTCTAAATAGCCTAGTTACTACAATAGGTAATTTTGGCACATCTATATGATGAAAGATTATTCAGCCATTAAAAT